CCTTTCACAGGAGGATGAAAACTGTTTGTTGAGCTGCAGCCACATTTAGCAACCCTTCTGTAGTTTACACAGCAAACAACTTGAGGGAGCCATCTAGTGAGTCATTGTTTTCCTTCCCCCACATTTTAGCAAGCCTCAAAGCAGGATGTTTTAAAGCCACCTCTACTACGTAAGGAAACAGCATCTCAGGCATACTGATGCTCAGATTCACCTTCTTGAATCTGTAAAATGACTGAGTTCCCTTTCATGCTTACATGGCACTTTTGCTGCTTCCCCAGGGGAAAGAGAGAAGAACACCTGCCTCCATACTGGTTGGTTCTGCAGTTCAGAGCCACTCACTTTGTCTCGAGATGACAGCTTAAGGACACCAGCTGTTTGTGATGGCAAGCTGGACTTGGTACTTTGCAAGTAATACTCTTCCCCCCTTCCCCTTCCTCAGCCACTCCCCTCAGAGGCTGCTTGTATTTCTGGAATACTTTAAGTTCATTTCTCATTATTTCACTGTTGATTCCTTTGATTCTCCCTTCTCAGTATAGAGTCTACAGAATTTTTTGTGTTGATTTTTGTCTAAAGGAAGTGAGAGGTTTTTTTCATCATTCCTGTTTTGCTAATTTTGGATGCTTTGGGGGGAATTAATGTCTGGTTTTAGTATGAAGATGATGAGACTCTCCCTGCCCTTTCTGCAGGTTGCTTGATCTGAATAGAGCAGATGGCAAACTATGCCTTTACATGTTACTTGTTTGGGAAATAGGAGATACTGAATCCATAGGGAGGGATTTTAAAAGGAATAAATGGAATGACTGGAAAATTGATTTACAAGACTGAGGATACATAGTCATACAAAACTCAGAAAAATGCTTATGCAAAGCCTACCTTTAAACATAAGCATAAATTCCACAGACCTCAGTGAAACTATTAATAAGTTTACAATTATGCTTATGGAAAAACAGCTTCCCAAATTAAGGCATAAGATGCTTTTCTTAAAAGACAGAAATCTAAGGATTGCGGAAGGAATCTGAGGCCCAATCCAGCTGACTTCCACTGATTAACATTAACACAATTAAAATGGAAATACTCCTTCTGCGTGAGATTCATTTGCATATGGCTTGTTAGCGATGCTGTCATGCTCTGCACTTCACCCTACAGAGATGTTACATTACTGGTGAAAAGATATGTAAAGTCCCTAAGCTCTGACACTGCTACAGAAAAAACACAACTATAGTCTTTGGGGTAATGTGCACACTGACTGATCTCAACTCATCATTCAACATTAGTAACTTCTGTACCTTTTCTTGCCAAAATGAGAGACAACTTCAGGCCAGTTTTGACTGTAAATCTGAAAGGATTACTGCAGTTATTTAGCGTAATTCTGTTAATAAACGTCATCAGTCCTCATTGCCAGAGCTGGTTCAAGGCTTCTCAGGCTTGCAGCAAACATCCCCCTCCACTCCTTGTGTATAGATAGAGCAGGGAGCCTGCCAATCACATAGGTATAGCAGGATGTAGGCAGTGGCAATTAAGCACTGTCTGTGCGCCAAACATGAAACAGCTCCAAGCCAGAAAACCCTGCAGTGACATAAGCCCAGCTCTAACTCAGTTACATACCTAGCTTATCATCAGCCTGCTGGAGCCCCTCTACACATCAGAGCATGAGCAATAGCTAGAGGACTGGGTCAACAGTAATGTCGTCAAGTGCAAGAGGGAGACTTGCAAGTCTCTGCCCCAGGAGTGGAGCGACCCCGTGCATCACCATGGCCTCTGAACAGACTGGCAAAGCTGCAGCCCTGCTGAAAACAAACTGGGCTCAAGTTGAATATGAGCCAGCGCATGCTCTCATCGTAAATACAACAAACCACCTCACAAGCTGCGTTAGAAGGTGCGTGGCCAGCAGATAGATGGAAGTTACTGTCCCCCTCTCCTTGGTACTGGTGAGGAATACTGTGCCTAATTTTGGGTCCCTAGGTTCAAGAGCATGGAGAAAATGGAGAGGGGACAGCAGAGGGCTACAAAGATGGTTGGGAAGGGGAGGCTGAAGGAGCTGGCCTTGTTTAGTCTGGTGAAGAGGAGGTTAAGGCAAGACAAATATTATAAACTCAACTCTTTCTAGTTCCATCAGAAGATTTTAAAAGGGGCAACAGCCCCAAAGGTAAGCTTTGGCCATTCAGGTTTGATGCCAGAGAAATATTTTTAGCTGGAACAATACTGCAGCACTGGAAAAGGTTACCTACAGCATATATGAAATCTCTGTCCTTGAACTTTTTCAATACTGTGCTTTACAAACCACAGCTGACCAGGTTTGGTCCTAGTGTTGGTCCCAGTTAAAACGGAAGGTTGGATACAGCCAGCATTCCTATGCTGTAATTAGTCTCCAGCTGAGTTTAGATTGATCCATTTACACATTTTGTCCATGCTGGTCCCCCAGACATTGTTGCTTCTTATTGGAGCTGCTGCTTCAAAAATTCAGGGACATTGCTGCTGAATCTGGGATTGTTCTCCACTTGCTCCTTTCCTTCCTAAAGAAGCATGGTCAAGTTGCTAATGGTCTGCTGCATGTCATTACTGTGAGGAGTAAATATGATTAACCCCTAATACTATGACCTGTATCTGATATATTCTGCCTCTTCACAAAGATATTTCTAAACACAAGAAATCTACAACTGTAGAGTTCTTTCCAAAATTTGGAAAATAATAGCAGATAAAAGCATCAGAGATACACTTCAATAATCAGGCACATATTTACTGGGGATGTTAGCCTCCTCATTTGCCCCTCCCTCTTTCTCCCTTGCTATGACAGTGGCATCACATGCAGTGCTACACTAAGAGTACAAATTATATCAGCACCATGGCAGAAGAAAGAAGCTAACAGGAGCTAAGTTCATCTCTGTGGCTGGCACAGGCTGGGCAGTAACAATGTCTGCAGAGCATGATGAGAACCCTGACAGCACAGCTCTTCCCACACCCAGCCTGGTGCGGCACCGCAGAGGCAGTAACTGGTTGTACCTGAACTGCACAGCCACCTGCTGCATTTGCCTGAGATGTGACTTGGTGATCTGAGGAATAAAAAAGAAAGAAAGAAGGAGAAAGAAAAAAAAAAAAAAAAAAAAGCAGCTGCCTGTAGTTGCATCAGAGTTGTTTTGCCACCGATAAGCTGTAAGAAGCAGCTTGCGGAGCAAACATGGTCACGTATCTGTGGAGCCTTCTAGTTTAAAAAGTGGAATCAGAAAAAAGTGCAATTTTTGGCCTCTCACTAGCAACACAAGTGTCACTGGTGACATATTTATCTGCCATACTGTGTGCTATACCAACATATGCTCATAAACATTCCTTTTTACAGTTCTCAGCTGTTGCCTAATTGCTTGTCTCTTGTTCATTGTATGGCAGCAAAACTGTTCATTAGTAAAGCTAACCACAACCAAAGAACATACATCCTGCACTCTATCAGTTGGTTGCGATGTGCAGTTTGTTGCAAAGTGCAAAGTCAGTTGCAGCTGATTTTAAGTCACAACTACTAGTTCTTGAAGCATTAGCCTAGGTTACTCACATGAACTAAAAATGTTGTTCAAGAGCCTCTGCTCCATACATTACAGGGCAACAAATAACCAGCTTAAAGATACAGACAAACATCCTTGAAGTCAAACTGCCCATACTGGCAACAATACTGATAGAGCAGATGTACAAGGCAATGAACTCTTCTAACATATATTTTAATCTGCTTTAATATACCACTGTCTTTGGGACCAGGAAAGTTAATTATCTTGATCTTTATTATTTTCTTGATCTTTATCTTCAGTTCAATCATTTTTTCCTGTAATGAACTCCTGAAAATTAATTTAATTTTATCCTAGTAAAGCTTCTTTTGTTTGTTAAAGAAACATGCTGTGTAACACACTGGGTAACTTGGCAAGATTCAATGATGAGTTCTAGAAATAAGAAGTTTTAATGATTATTTATAGTACAGGGTATACAACACCTCTTGAAATACACGTATTGCTGTTACATCAGTTAATTAGAATAAAAATTTCTGCCAAGACCTACAGTTAGCAGCATTGCAGTGTACAGTGAAGTAACAGAGTGGGAGTTTTGGGTTTTTTGTTGGTTTTTTTTTTAATTTATGAAGGAAGATTCATTGCTGTGACGCTGAACAGGTGGTACAGAAGCTCACAGCTCTTTTGGGACTGATTGCCACTTTGATGCTTAGCATATCAGAGTTTCCAGCAAGCTCACACACAACCTCCTAGGATTAGAACATCAATTTCTTTAGGGGATCATATACTTTAGATGGTAAGATAGGTCCTTTTCATCAAAAAGCAAAAAACAAAAGGACATAATTAAAAAAAAAAAAAAAAGCACAGAGCAGGGTGGCTTAGCTTCTTATAAATCCTGGTCACCTAAGGGAGTGGCATAGCTCTCTGATTTGAAGCTTGGCTACCAATACTCCTTACGGAGTTCAACTGAAGACTTTTTCTTCCAGTCACATAGAGACTCTCAACATTTCAAAATTGCCTAGTGGATTTCCCAACACAACAAAACTTCAGCTGAGAAATCCTGATGCAACTGGACAGGGGGCTGGCACTTCCTAGAGACGAATCTAACCTTCATACTAACAAACATTAGCAAGCACTACTAGCTTACTACCTTTTCCTTTGTGTGCATTTACCATTAATGTTTGTCCAGCTGAAATGTTAAATTTCTTGGGAAAAGACTTCATCTTTCAATGCATATATACTATATGACATTGCACAAGGCAATTTCTTCGTCCCTTAAAGTGAAGCATACTGTCTACGAACATCCCTAGAATACAAAGGTACATCTAAGTATAATGCCATTTTTATAATGTCCAGCAAATGCACTGGAAAATGCTGCCCATTAGAGCAATACAATCAATTCCTTTGGTTTATCAGAGGGATTGATGAAATGGGTATCAAATGCCATTCTGTTGACTTGCCTTGACACAAAGGCATGCTTGCCTTTGGATATGCATTGGATAAACAGATACTCACATTCCATAAAATAGGGGCCAGGTTCAATTCGCCATACAATTTGTCCTTTTTGCGTGCCAGTCACTCCCCGATTCTTGGAATCCCAGAAATTGGCTGGAGAGTTCTCATCTGAAAGAGGAAAAGAAAAAAAAAAAAATTTCGTCAAGTAGTATTTATAATAGTAGTTTTCTTGGTTTTCTGTTTCAAAAGGCCCAGATACAAAAAATTATTTGTGTTAAAAACAAATTTAAAAATAATCAAACTAACTGGCAAAAGATAAATGGCTTCTCTTTTACACTTGATAGTTAGATCAATTTATGCAGAGTGAGCAGACATACATACAGCCAAAGTAAATATATGGTTTCCTGTAAGAGGTGACCTGCCAAGGTATAGTATTAAATTCCAAAAGTTCCGTAACTCAGAGAGGCTATTGGGAGTGTATAGCTGATTGAAACTTCATCACAGAGTTACCACACTGTTTTAGATGGTGGTCCTGCTCTGTGATGTGAAAAATCTAGCATTCATTCCCTAGCTAGGAAGTAAGGAATTGCAACTAGAGGTATCAAGACTTACTTCAGTTTTTAATATATTCCTGTGTTTTAGAAACCAGCGAGAATATTTTTATACATACACCAGAAAACCTGACACTTTCAGTTTCCTCACAGGTACAGTATTATTCCCTATCAGTGAAGTCTAGTTAGAGGCTCAAAGCAAAGAACTGTCACTTAGTAAGTCAGAGATACAAATGAGAGATTCAGCAAAATACATTCAAAAGAGAATGGAGAAACAAGTAGTAAGTATCTGCAGATCAGATCAGCAATATCAGTATTTTCCCCTCTTGAACCAAGCTTTTTGTCCTAACAGTAACAAACACAGGTCTTGGGGTTTGTTTTTTATTTACCAGCCTGTATTCAGTCACCCAGAACACTGTACGAATGAAAGAAAACCAGAGTGAGAAGCTGTTGGGAAGGGCACAAAGATTAGTTACGATGACCCAGAGGAAGCTGACATAAATCCAACTTAACTCTTTTGTACAGGAAGTTCTTTGGAAGTATGCATCATAACATTTTACAAGTGCATTTAGGCAGCAATTTCTTAATTAGACAATTACACATGTGACCTCAAATACAACATCCTAATTCTTTCCAGTGGTACTTGATACTCCGTAGTCTTAAATCTATTTTTTTTTTAAATATCCTGTTTGTTAAATATCCACACTTGAGTGCAATCTGCAATCTTAAAAAGACTTCACTAAGAACTTAGTCTACTGTGGCTTTGTTCATGAAACTCCTATCCATTCAAGCATGCTTTCTTTGTACTTTGGTAGGAACTCCCACATAAATAAGATTGCAGAATTGTCACCTACATTTTCGAAATCCGTATGCTATTTATGAAAGAATAATAAACAATGCAGCTTTGTTACTTTTATCTTAAAAATAGAAACTTACACTAAAACTTCTCTTTCTCCTTTTCATTCTGACTGCTCATCTCAGTGTACGCACAATAAGTACGGAATCACGATTAGTGCTGCTATACATTCACATCCCACCAAAGTAACATGCAAAGCATTACCAGACACACGCTGGACTTCCGTGACTGCTCAGGAGAAAGTTACAAACCCTGTCCGCAACCTGGAAGAGCTCTGGAGAGTCAAGAGGTGGCCATGGCAAGCTACTGATGTTTTTATGCCTTCAGGCATGGGCGACACAGAGAAATTTTAGAAAGCTGTCATCTGAACACCTCAACATCATGACAAGTTTACAATAGTTTCATAATTATCTCAGTGATCACAAGAAGGGACAGGAGGGTTCTCCTAACACCTGTGATCCTCAAGCATATAATACCCTCAGGCTTAACTTTTCATGTGGAATCAACATGATAGCACCTAAACTGCATACACCATGAAGTTGGGCACACAGGCAGTAAAAACTTAAAACACGCATACTTATTCTTCATCACAGCGCAAAACTTTCAGAGTAAACTAAGCTGTATCTCACCCATGTGTTTCTTTTTTGTTTCAAAGCTATATGAAGAGGAACTCTGAAAGTACACCCTGTAAATCATCTCATGGGCCTCAAAAAACCCCAGAAATCTCTGTATGTGGTTTGCAGTGACAAATAACCAAAATAATACACTGTTGACTTATTCATGACACTTTTTAATGTGCCTTCCTAACCCAAGGCCCCACTACTATCTTCCACAGACAGATCTCTGGGAAGCCATGAGATGTAGCTTAACTTCTAGCAACTCTACACTAGTGCCTATTTTGGTCCACCATACAAGCTTGGTTATCCAAACAATCGCTTCCAAAAGCAAGCAGATTCTTTAAATATTCCACAGTTATCTGAAACACAGATAGTTTAAAATTATTCAGTGTTTTCATTACATCTAGGTAAATAAAGATGTATTGTATGACAAAACCCCACCTCCCCTAATGTTCTGGTTCTTCTGAATTTCTGTATTTAATCAACCAGAAAAGAGTCTGTTCATCATTCTAAGCAGAAGAACAGATATTTGGTATATTATAACCATAAACATGAAAATTTTTATTCTTATCTTGTTCAGCAAATCAAGGAACTCTGAAGCAATGAGATACACCTTTAACAGTGAGATTTCCAACATTAAGGCACAAGCAATTGTTCTTTGTTTTTTAAAATCAGTAGCTAAATAAAGTCAATGGTAATTTTTACAGGGATACTGATGAACTTTAGAAAAGGTCCTACATGAACTGAGTCTCAAATTCTGAGTCGACAGTTACAAGAAAGCAGAACATTTTCTTACACCTTATTTAATAAAATCCAACATTTAAGAAAGTGCCTGGATTTTCAGTCTTTTCATGAAGGAATGGTCTCCTCTGCAGCAATGAAGACTAAATCATTGATACTCTGCCCACAGGCATGCTGCCATTGCAACAGAATGTGGGGGAGACAGAGGGATGAAAAATGCTGACAGACCACTGCCTGTCAGCAATCAACTCAAATTACAGAATTTATTTTGGACAGCTTTGATTTTCTTCTGAAACAGATTTTTTTTTTTCTACTTTTATGATGTTATTCACATAGGGGGAAAAAATAACATTACTAATGCATATAGAAAAATAACTTTAAACCTCAGCTTATGGATTTAAAAAAAAGAAACTGAACAGGGAAAAAAAAAATCAAATAGCATGAAAACATTAAAGTACACAATATTGCCAAAATTTACTTATCAACAGTGCAATAAAAAAGTTCAACAGTGATAGTCTCAGCAATATTCAGCTGTGAAAAAAAAGTGTTTGAAAGCACAAAAAGCAGTATCAGAATTACCACTACCTCATCTGTCTTCTTCCCCAAAACATATATATGTATGTACATGTGTATGTACATGCACACACACACACTATATACATATATATATTCCATAGAGAACTTAAATTCTAAGAAGTTCTAGTCCCCTTTTGGCACATAATTGTTGCTGTTTGCGAAACTGGCGGCTGTTCCAGAATCTGGGCCAAAGACTAGATATAGATATCCCTTCCCAGAGCATAAAATATGCAACAAAATACTGTCTTACTGCATTGGTACCTTGTCCAGCAAGCCTACACTTCTGAAAGAAATAAAACAATGCAAGATGCACAGTATCTCTCTCTTAATTCTTAGACACAAAATATTACGGAAAGTAACTTACTTCTCAGAGCTGCAACCCCTTCACAAATCAGCATCTGTAAGACATGTTCTACAATGAAAAGTGGGTAGTCATATATGTATCACTGTGTAGAACTTCACACTGACTAGTGCTCCTTGAAATCACTGTAAAGCAAATGTGTTCTGAGTAATAATGTTTTCTTTATTTAACTGCTAAGCAATCAGCCAAACCTGGTATTAAGAACTGAACTCATTTTTTCTACTTTCAGGCTTCACCATCATTACAACACCGTTTAAGGTAAGTTAGATACCAACGGCATCTGTAATACCCACAGCTTGTGCTCTCCATGTCAGCATTGTAGTTCTCCTCCTGTGTCCACAGCTCTGCCCTGACGTGACAGTGAATGGGATGCAGCTCCTCTGGCATGTGTCAGTTCGGTACAGCTATCTTATGTGAAAAGCAATATGGAAGTACTGGATAAATGGATCAACAGTGCAATGAAAGAAGGTACCGTTTTTACAGAATTAGTTTTCACAATACAATGATGCCCATAAAAGAGTAAGAGCCATAAGAAGCTCCAGTATGCCCACGCCTTTTCTGTACTGGGAGCCCAGAACTGGACACAGCACTGAGATGTGTCTCACCAGTGCTAAGTATAGGGGAAGGACCACTTCCCTCACCCTGCTGGCTAAGGTTCTTCCTAATGCAGCCCAGGATGCCAGTGGGTGGCCTGGGCACACTGTTTGCTCTTGTTCAACTTGCTGACCACCAGGACCTCCAGGTCTTTTTCTGCAAAGCCGATTTCCAGATGCTCGGCCGCCAGCCTGTCCCAGTGTCAGGCGTTATTCCTCCCCAGGGGCAGGACTTGGCATTGCCCTTTGAACTTCGTGACATTCCTGTTTACCCATTTCTCCACCCCGTCTGAATGGCAGCACAATATCTGGTTTATCAACCGCTACTCGCAGTTTTGCATGAGGATGTTATAGGAGTGTTGAAAGCCCTGCTAAGCCAGTATCTGACATCAGGAGTCAGGAGGCTTCTGTGGCGTTCATGTTTTGTTCTTTGTGTCTTACCGCTTTCACTATTTGTGTCTTAGGAAAAAGGATAAACTACCTGAAATCCATCACCCTACAGAGTCATCTTGCATAGCTTATATCAATAAATAAATAAGATACAGTCTTTTATAAGACAGTTAAAAACCAAGAACTGCTACCAATTCATATCTGACACAAACCTTATAGTCCCAGTGCACAGACTGGTCATATGCAAACCAATGCTCATCTTCCGGTCCCAGTTTCTGTGGTCAGTAGTGCTAGGTTATGTGATAAAAGGCTTGTCTCCATGAATACAAAGGAATTTTATTCTTCAAATACCAAAACATTATAGAAGTCAGTCACAAACTCCTAGTGTGGAAACATCACGGATTGCTTACTACATAGGAAAAAATTTAAAAGTTCCCTATAGCAATCTAAGAGCTTCAAACTTTTGGATACTGATCTCTTTTC